TCTGTGTGTGTGTGTGTGTGTGTGTGTGTGTGTGTGTGTGTGTGTGTGTGTGTGTGTGTGCTTGTACTAGTTGGACTGATGCCTACCGTATTTTATAGTGCTAGCTCACTGAGATACCATGCCACAGTTTAACAAGAAAGAACCCATTCAGACACAGTATACTGACTCCGAGCCAACCAGTCCTTGTTTTAGCCCTGTAATGCCAAGTGCCAGACAGGGTAACAACAAGTACCATCATTTAACCTCTTCTGGTATGACGCGGCTGGGGTTCGAACCCAGGACCTTCCAATCTCTGGGTGGATGCTCTACCAATAGACCACAGAGGTAGTCTTGAAGAGGGACGAAAGCCTGAAGTGATGCATGTCAAAGACATTGACCATTTTGGTGAGACATGAGCAGGGGTATGGTGCTGACAAACTGATACATAATTAGGGTGGACCGAGATTCGGACCCATGATCCTAGGTTCAGTGCACGCCTAAGGGACTCAGATCTGTTCTGGGAATTGTGGAATCTGAGATGACTGGGACCCCCATGCCCACTCAAGGCTCCAGGTTGGCCATAATAGATTATTTATGTGTTTTAATCAAACTGACATACAATGGTAATGTCCCAATTCTCATTGGTTGACGATGACATCCATGAAATTGGTACAGCACACAAACTTTAGAATGATCAGCTTATTGGAATCCAAAACATTTTTTTTTAACACCTAAGTGTTACTTGTTAAGGATAATGCTATTACCATTTTCAATGTGCTTTGTGCCGTGGGCACTGAATAATTGAATTTTGGGGACTTAATCAAATTCAAAACACTAAAAGACAAGCTGTGACAAAAATATGTCGTCTGCCAGCTCTCATTTTGCACTACATACCTGTTACCATGACTACCAAGTCATACATCACTATGACAACCAAGCATGGGGAAGAAGATTTTTCATTTATTGTGAGTTGAAGTAAAAAACTATCCCTTGCCAATATATTCAAGAGAGTTGAGTTTAAAGGCAGAGTCAGCAGTATTTATGTATAACACATCCTTAATAATGTGTGATCAAGATGACTTCAAAACTGTGGCCACAGCTGGTAGGTTGTCCCTCATCTGAGTATTGTCTTTTCTGAGCAACCATTTTGATCATCCAATGACCTTTTTAGTTGATTCCATGGTAGGCATTGCATAGTTAGTACCTTTTTAACCCAGAATACCCATGATGAATAATATTCAGCCATTAATCGTTCATGATGATATCTTTCATCACAGGACAGTCATTCAGTGGAAATGTCAGTATCGACACATCAACTCAAAAGTATCACCGATATCTAATAAGTATCGATTACAAATAAGATTATTCTGTATGCATATAGACCTGCAATTAATTAATTAATTAATTTAATACTACATATGAACTAGGCTGATCTATTAATGGTCTAAAATAAATTTTTCTGCTTTATCAATGTCCATCTTAACAAAGATAATCATAATATATATTTCTGTTGCAGTGAATTATTAATTTAGTATTGCTATTCATAAATTTTTATCGATAAAGCATAGAGATAAAAGATTTACTGATATAAATATTAGATGATTTAATCTTCTGTTCAACTCAAAAAGGGAGGAAGTTACTGTGAATTCTATTAAACTCATCTCACTCACCCACTCACTCACAAAATCTTAATCAAGAAATCTTCATGAGGATTGGGAAGAAGAATTAGTACGCTATGCTTGTCAAAAGAGCTGATTGAGAAGCATGGGGCGGTTATGTGTGATTGTGTCATCGTACCCAACAAAGTTCCTATTGTTAATTGTCATCCACCATTGTGTCCAAGACTGGATTATTTACAAGCTGTCATTATATAGATAGAGACCCATGGAGGTTTGGGTTAGAAGTGGTCTTCAGGAACCAATGCTTGTCGAAAGAGGCAACTTAAAGGATCAGGAAGTCAGGCTCGCTGATTTGGTTGATGAATGTCATCGTATCCCATTTATGTGGAACAATGCTCATGTTATCAATCACTAGATTGTCTGGTCCAGACTCAATTAGTTTCAGACAACCGCCACAACGCTGGAATATTACTGAGTATGGCATTAAACAAGAAGCAAACAAACAAACAAAACTGCACCAAATTCACACTATACTTAAGAGTGATAAAGGGAAATCTCTCACCATTTTCACAGTTTTTAATAAAAGTATTTAATAATTTATAACGTTGTTTTTTTAAATTAACCAAATAACGACAAAACATTCATCTATAAGAAAACATTTTTATAGTCAAGAGTGTTAATGTTTCAGGAACTGGCTATATGTTTTACCATTAATGTATTTCCCGAGCAATATTGATGATTTCATACAGAGTAAAGACGTCACACAATGACGACAATGTAGTAAGTAATATTACATTTATCTTCATAACATGCAATCTATAAAAGCCATGCCAATATTGATAATATGGACATTCTTGAATTTATGCTACTAACACTGATAAAACTGATTTGATTTAAAAACCATCCAATATCATCATCTCTCTCCAGCTATCAATTTTCATGTAACCTTTTGATCCCAACATCATGGAGCGACTCCAAGTATAATTACATCTACTACATAGATGAAACAAAACCTATACTCTCCTGAGCAGGTGGTCAGATTTTCAACATGAAATGGTGCTAATTTGAAGCTGTAAATCAAAACTTCCCAACATTGTTAACAGCAGCCATCCTGTGGCAATTATTCAAAGTCATTAAAACTAATGTATCATCCTATTTCATGATTGGTCCTTTTAGGAGCGTAATTTGTTATGAAATTATCCCCCCATGTTGCCAAGTACCTGTACCTCATTTCATGTGCAGCTTGCATTAGTTCTGTCTGTCATTAAAACACTGACAGCTGTTTCAGCCTTATTCTATACCACCTGATGGGTGGTGTTAACATTACTGAGGCTAAAATGTGATTTTGAAAAAACAAACAACAATAAACCAACAAATTATTGAAAGAATTTATATCGATTATGTGTGCAAATAAAAGGAAATGTAATTCTCATTAAAATGAGGTATCACTTGTGGAAATAACTTTTTGTGAAATCTCAATTAACTTTTTCAGAAAATAAAATAATGGAAAGAAAATATATCAATTATGTTGGCAAATAAAAAAATTCTCATTAAAATGAGGTATCACTAGAGGATATCATTTTTTGATAAGTAACAATGAACTTTTCAGGAATTAGAATATAGACTGTTGGTGTGCCTATTAAAGGAGATTCCATTATCACCAAAATAAGGTATTACGTCAGTATGATCAATTGCTTCACAATGTACATGTTGTAATAGGTTGGACTGTATTCGATTACTTATTTGATATATGAATACAGAGCAAAAGCCAAGAGATTTACCAGTAATGATATATGATATATGTATAATCAATTCGCCATAGCGATCTGTATCTGTTAGCTATTGATTTTGTGAAACTAATGTCATACACAGTTAAGAAGAAAACTTATCATTTATTAATTTTAGATGATTTGATATGACTGTTTGACTGTGCATTTCAATCTTCAGTGTAGCAGGCCCATTACACAATCCATCTTAATGCTTGGATTACATGTTTATTAACACACAACAACCAAAAACACTCAAATCTTTGAGGATCAGGTCTGTAATGTCTTTAGTGCACAAATGTGTTGTACAAAAACCTACTTTCAACAGACAAGAGATATTGCAACCCTGCAGCTGACCTACTGCAACAAATCTGATCTACTGCAACAAATCTGACCTATTGCAAGAAATCTGATCTACTGCAACACATCTGACCTATTGCAACAAATCTGATTTACTGCAACAAATCTGACCTATTGCAACAAATCTGACCTATTGCAACAAATCTGATCTACTGCAACAAATCTGATTTACTGCAACAAATCTGGCCTATTGCAACAAATCTGATTTACTGCAACAAATCTGGCCTGTTGCAAGACAAGAGGCCTATAATTTGCAACACTGTCGTTAATCTAATACAACAAATTTGGCCTTTTACAAGATAAATAACCTGCTGAACACGACAACTGACCTACTGCAACACACTAACCTGTTGCAACAAATCTGACCTATTGCAACACTGCAACTGACCTATTGCAACAAATCTTTCATATTGCAGTGAGTACTGCATCTGACCTATTGCAACACAATATCCTGGCCATTCTGACTGTGTGCCTCAAGGTGAACATTATTAATTCATATACATACACCTACACATTCAGTTATCAGGTTCATTGAACCCTGAAAATATAAATGTCTGTGTGTCCTGGGCCACTGCTACTGGCCTGTACACTGGGAAACAAGGCCTGATGTTACCACAGGTAACAACTCCCCTGACCCACAAGCATTCAAATCAGTCTGAATCTGTACACTTGAAACAACTCCGACTTGTCAATACACACAATGAACTGAGACACAATTTCTCTATCCAAAATGAAAATATACAGTATGTGTGTGCATATAAAAATCCCCACCATCAAACAGCCTAAATCTCTGCCCTTAAAAAAACCTCCCTGTTATCAATACACTGCAATCTTAAAAGAACAATCTATTAATCCAAAATGAAAATATACAGTATGTGTGTGCATATGAAAGGCCATTCCCCACCATCAAACAGTCTAAATCTCTCTCTTAAAATAAACTCCCTGTTATCAATATACCGCAATCTTTAAAGAACAATCTATTAATCCAAAATGAAAATATGGAGTATTTGTATGCATATGAAAGGACATTCCCAACCATCAAATCAGTCTAAATCCCTACACTTTAAACAACTCCAAATTACCAGTACACACACTGCAATCATTAATTGACAATCTATTTACCTGAAATGAAAATATAGAGTATGTGTGTGCATATGAAAGGCAACCCTCGCATCAAATCAGTCTAAATCTCTGCACTTTAAATAAACTCTAACTACACACACTGCACTAAGACAGAGCTACTCAGCACAGGGAAGGTTAACCATGGCCAGCCTACCTTTTTCTTCCTCATCGGTAGGGGCCGCCTTTTCAATTTCATTCCCGTTGGGTTGTTGATCAGCAGAACTTACTATAATAGTAGGAGTTTCTGTGGCTGCCTGGTCAGTGCCGGTCTTGGGTATGAAGGCGGTTTCCTCGTTTACTGCTTCTACTCCGAGAAGTTTCATCTTGGCATGCCTATCTCCACGTTATGCTTTCAACAATTGAGGAAACCAACTGGAGTCTCCTGCTCGATCAATGACGGTAACTATCAAATTTGTTATACTCCTTAAGGATCCCAAGATTGATTTAGCAATGCAGTGGGTATCGTCAGCACAATAAAATCTTACAAATGATCATTAGCATGGCACAAATACATGTCTGCCTTCACCTGATGTATCCTCTATTGCCAGTGTCACACTTTTCCCAATTTCACAAATTACACTAATTGAGGCTGTAGACTTTAACACTGCATTCAGGCTTCAAAACACATTTAAAAAAAGAATAATCAGTCTAAAATGAAAAAAAATAAATCACACAAACACCTAATTACCAAGGATACTTTTGTAATCCAAAAATAGCCACCCTCAGTTGGAGCTAGGCAAATCACTTTGAAATAGCTCAGGCTATCCCACAAATACAATCATTTCCCAAACAATCAATTTGCTTCTAGAAATTTCCTCACACCGGAAACAAATTCAGCTGTATTACAACATGTTGAAGCAACAGCAATTCTCTGCATGGACTTGAAAGTAAAACCTTGACAGTTCCGATGTTGATGGCAGATAATCCGGGATGGCACTCCACCTGTGAGAGAGCAGGGGAGGAACCGTCTCTCAATAATCTCTCCAGTCAGCTGACTGAGGCTCTCTCTCTCGCTACGATATCCTTCCCGCTAACTGTGTCCCACTCCTGTGTTGATACAGCGCGGAAGATATCACTATCTCCGTACTGCGGTTGTTGGGGGGCGTACCCCTATCTCACTGCCTAATGCACTGATCACCTGGCTGGGTTAACAATGTCCAACATGAATTTCATAACAGGTTCACTGTTGCATGTACTTTTACTTGCTGTCCCTTTTATTGCGAAATCACTTCACTGTCAGAAGTTGTATTCACACAATGCACCAACTTGTGTTCTCAGGGTTGGCGATATGTGGTCAGAAAAAGGAATACTATTGATCAGTAATAGTTATCCTTACAGCATGGCCTACACAATCTTCATTCAACACAGACTCTATCACAAGATCAAGTTTCACTGACAAGACATTGAAGTGAGAAATACATGTACACGCTGTAGTGTAACTTTTCCCTTCCTGATTGCTCATGCACAGAACAATTTCCTCCAAGTGTTACAATGTAAAGCACTTCTTCATTCAAACCGCGACTCTAGCGTGTTATTCCCTGTCAGTCATGGGTATTGTGCATGTACGGGAGCAATAAGCACCATAACACCACAACCTGTACACACACACACAATGTCTTCACCAAGACGTGAGTCTAGATTAATGTTTCCATGAACTTATGATTGCTCTAAAGTCTTCTTTTTTCACAAACGTCTCAATAAACTCATCAAATATCCACTCTCCAGGTTTTTATCCAACTGTACACAGTAACTTTTATGCAGAAAGTAAATTAGAATATTTTTTCCTCCCTCAAATGAAATGGTCGGTGTGTCATGGCTGTGCTATACCTCGAATTCCCTTCATCAGAGTTTGTTGAATAGCTGTTGAATACAAGTCCTTGTGTTGATGTTCCACAACAAACTGCCTATGATCAGTGTCTAATGTGCATGACCTCATAGCCAGATATTTATTATCTTGACAACAGGTGTTTATTTCAGGTCAAGGCTGGAAGCATGTTCACTACCATTTGTTACTTTTCCCAGTAGAAACGTCAACAGCATTAACAGGATAAAAATCCTCAACTCTTGTCCATTTCTAATACCTTATAACTCATATCAACACCAATAAACATTAAAATATCCCTGGTGGAAAATGATGGCTGCGCTCACTGAAATGTCTCAACATGAATGAACGTCAAACATCCAAGTTTGAACTTCACAATTGAAATTCCCGTCACTACTACATTTCACTTCTTACATCATCCGCCAGCAAGTTCCTCCATACACAGCAATATCTGCTGATCAATACCACAGAGAATAAACATTGTGTCCCCTTTACAAAACAGTCGGGTTCTCTGTCTCTTCCTGAACGTGTTCCTGAATGCTTTCCTTCCTCGTCATCACCTAACTTGGGGTTGTGGATAACGACAACTTACGCACGCTCTGAAACTGACGCGGACATATACCGGCGTTCACTGCATAAGACATGTTAAACAGCTTGATCAGTTTCTGTTGCAAATAACCAATGATAAAAATGACTCACAATTGGGGCAAAGGAGAAATTGTGTTCCTGACAACTGATATAAGCGATAGAGACAAAGTAATCAGAAGATAAAACACATCTTCCCCTTAATCGCCACTATCTACAGCTGGGATAAGAACGTGAGATATTCCAACGTCTACAAGAGCTGTCTGACCATGCCGACGCATAACTTCTGCACATCGGAGAAATTGAAACAGGGGAAAATCAATTTATTTCTCAAAAAATAACATAGGCTATTCAGCCTACCCCTTCACTGATGCCAGAGAAAAAAAAGAACATTTGGTATTTTTTATTTATTTAAGGTCATTGACTCAGAACAACAACTGAATAAATTCAACTGTATGCCATGCAGTCTAATTTCCTTGTGGCATTCCAAAGATTCAAGGATTTTACTTACATTTCTGGACCATTAACCCTTGAAACAAAGAAATATAGAACAAAAATACAAGTAGCCACCAAGCGAATATATTATAAGTCTCCTCATAGGCTAAATATATTACATGCAAAATTTAGTAATGAATAGCAATACTCTTTTATGTAGTTAACTGATTGCATTTTGTGAAGAAGACATGAATTCTTTTAATATCACGATAAAGATGACATGTTTGATTCATCCTCTTCACAGGACATCCCACACTATGACAACATACCCTCATCCACATTGGATGGTCATATAGGCAGTTTTGGACACCAACTGTGAGCACTGTCCAAACGTTAATGTTTTCTTGTGCCATTTAGAAGCTGCAGAATCTATGAAGACAGGATTCCCTTATGGAGTTCAACTTCTTTTGTTCTATCAATGCCATGTGTCAGTACCCTCACTTATCCAATTATCGAGCAATGCATTACCACTTATATACATCTTCATATCATCTCCCAACTTTTATATAATGTCGTATTGCTGAAAGTGATTTTCTATTATAATATGTGAGGGAGGCAAGCAATGAACAGTCTTGTCAAAACTAATTTATCTAAATTTTGATCTCAAGCCTCTTGTGGTATCCACACTGATTAAAATCCATGGAAGTTTCTTATGTATTTCCCAACAGGATGTCTTGTGAGGACACTGGGGGAATTCTGGGCTGCAGAGGTCTTCAGAAATCTGTTTGTCACAAGAGCTGGCTAATTGGATCTGTGGTCAGACTCAGTGACTTGTTCGATTAAGTGTCATCATACCAGACAGTATGGGGTGTTGGTCATAATATCAATCATTGGTTTGTCTGGTCAAGACTCAATTAATAACATACTGTTGTGATGTTGGTGATGCTGGCATATGGCTGAGATAGTACAGCTGTCATATGGCTGAGATAGTACAGCTGTCATATGGCTGAGATAGTACAGCTGTCATATGGCTGAGATAGTACAGCTGTCATATGGCTGAGATAGTACAGCTGGCATATGGCTGAGATAGTACAGCTGGCATATGGCTGAGATAGTACAGCTGTCATATGGCTGAGATAGTACAGCTGTCATATGGCTGAGATAGTACAGCTGGCATATGGCTGAGATAGTACAGCTGTCATATGGCTGAGATAGTACAGCTGTCATATGGCTGAGATAGTCTGGTGTAAAACAACATATCAACACAGATATGTGAGGTAAATTTTAGCTCTCTGTTTCAAATATGAATATGAGCATGCAGAGAGGCATAGTAGGGGTAGACGAACTAACACTTTGTCTATGAAAACATTTCTTTAAAAATTGTTTGTTTGTTTTTTCAATTAAACCTTTCCTCCTCCTTAATAATAAATTACACATTTATGCTTAGGTTTTTAGCCAATTAATATTGAATTAATTAAAAATTACACAGTCATGCTTAGGATTTTAGCCAAAACATATTGAATTAATTATTAAATACAAAGTCATGTCCAGGGTTTTAGTGAAAATTAATTTAAAAAAGAAGAATAACTGTCATGGAGCAGGACTAGATGGAGTGATGACAATGCTGAAACCTCAAGTTGCTGTTGAAGCTGTTGCACATGGCCTGAAAAGCTGCATGTTTAGAGACAAGAATACACAGGAGTAAATCTGGAGGAAATGATACTATGATTTAAACTGTTTATCAGTGGGTCCAACTGCATCACTTCAAACTGATAAAGCTGTAGATGTTTGTGTCTGTATGCAGGATGTAGTAAAGTGTGAGTTGTTGTGGCAGGGCATACACATAATGAACATATCATGCTTTAATGTTGTTATTCCTCTTTTAACAATCATGCTATTCCATTGGTTAATCTGTACCACGTGATGAAACACTATGTTTTACTGAAGCCCCAATATCATTTCACATATTGACCTTGTCAAGAATAATTCTTTGTAAAATTTTTTATCATATAATGGATGGGTTTTTTGTCAAAAAATGATATTCGTTAGGGTCATATGCGGGTAGAGATGCAAATATCAAAGGTCAAGTAGGGACTACTTTCAGTGTTTACAAACAAACATGGCATCACCCTTGTCATTCAGTGATCGAGTCAGAATTAACCATCTGGAATCTGGAGAAACTACTGGGATACATTGGATAATTGTTATTATTATCTAAAGAATAGTCTAATATACAGAAAATCAGTGTCTAACTGTGATGTAGCTCATTAAAGGCATTTTACATGTTTTGGCAGCTTTAGAGATATAAATTGCGAAACAATTTAGCGAGGACACTAGCCTGGCGAAATCAGTTTCCATATCAGTGCTTGTAGATATTTGTGGCTTGGAACTTTTTCTCCAAATTAAAACAGTTGAATTTTTGTCGAAATATGTCCTAATTGTTACCTTATGTCCTTTTGTCGCTGTGGGTACATCCGACTGCACTTCGTTATGAGTACAGACTAGGGTTAGCCGACAGACCGATGGATTGCCGCGAAAGGTAAGTAGAAACAATTTGTGCAGGCAATTGCTGTTTTGCCCATATATAGTTACGCTGCTGTATAAGAAACAGGTTTCAATTGGATTTATATTGACTGTTGTCACTGTCCGACGGACACGTAAATTACCTTCTGACGTAATGTATATTAATGCGCATATTCCAGGAAAACTTGAATTGTTTAGGTAATGTTTTTGAGAGATAGAAGAGATTTTTCAAGCACAGATTGGACGGACATTATATGATAAAGAGGTGATCACGCTTAACCATTAGGATATTTACCATTCCCAAACACACTCACGTGATAACCTCCATTTATGAGCAGTCAGAAATAGATTCCATCTATATCTGTGTCTGGGTAAGACAAACCAGTGGTTGAAAGCATGAGCAATGATCCACACCTTTGTGTGATGACACACAAAGAGCCAGGTCACATCTTGGCCACACAAGCATGGGATGCTGTGCTCCTGTTCTGCCCTCGGTGTGTTTTGTGGTTGTTTATCGCTGCACTCAGCAATATTCCGGTTCCATGATGGCGGTCTGTAAATAATCAAGTCTGGACCAGAAAATCCAGTGATTGACATTATGAGCATCAATCCACACAATTGGGATCGATGACATGCATCAACCAACTCGATCCCGTTAGTCGGCTCTTGTGGACAAGCATAGTTGCCTTTTATGGCACTTATGGGTTGCTGAAGGTCTATTCATCACCGGATCTTTATGGGTCCTGCCCTCGAGTCCCCACTAAGTAACACATATAACACAATATCATTTGGAACATTGTTTAACTATATATATGATCGTGAATATCCTGATATAAATATGATGAAATATCCTTGATCTAGCTTGGACAAGTCCACTGATTAGCATACAATATGCACTGCCATATCACATATTCACATCTTATTGTATTGTTCACCATGTTCACCAAAATGAATTAATATTAGATTTTCTTTCAAATGGATCAATAGGTAGGAGACTTTTAATTTGGATATTATATTTTTTTTCAAATGAACCATAAAAGTAATCTGTGCACATTAATCATTGATTGATATGATTCCCACAAACAGAAACCTTCGGAGGACTCTCATCAACTCAATGGGAATACATCGCTTGTCTTCATTTGTGGGTACAAGTGAACAATAAGATGAGCCAAGGCTGATGTTAGGTGGTGAGTATCCCAAGGAAAGATAAAAATCTATTAATTAATTTATTATGGCCTTAGAAAAATATATTCTGAACAAATAAGCATTTCCACAAAAACGAGACCGCTTCTCCTGATAAAAAGGTATGGTCTATTTCAGAATGTCCCAGTCTGGAAGCCAAGGCACGTACAGTGTGATCTCCACATGCAACAGAAGCTCAAAATAAACTTATACATTTTTCATTGTTGCTTGATCGTGTTCTGCCTTATTCCTGAACTTGGCACTAATTAAGTCGATACGCAAAAAGTCATAACCTTGATGCTAAAGAGGAGGAAATGCACACTGATCGGAATCGCAGATTGCATTAATGACAAGGAAATGGACATGCCTATTGATAACCACTACATAAATAGCTCTCTGATTGGCTGGGCTGTTTACATTGAGTACCTGTGCAGATCTGTTATTTGCATAGTAGGCAAAGTGAAGTGGAAGCATGGATCCAAGAATCTTACTTCCAGAAATCAGGAATTCTTTGGATGTAATAGAATATTTTTCTGATTGTCATGGTGTTGATTTAATACAATTCACAGAGGGTGTTGCAATTAATATTCAGTGTTGATGACTGATAAAAGTCAAACAAAAACAAACATCTGATAATTAATTCAACATAGAGAATATTTATCTCAATAAAAAACATATTGACTCAAATTTCTTTCTTATAAATAAACTGTATTTCTACTTCTTATGGTACTCATTCGAGCATTTACTGTTTTCAATGAAGTAGGACTTTACAGATATACTTTATCGATAATCTTAAATGTCATCTTTGAATAAACCTGTACTGTGAATTAATTTCTATCAGTTTCCTTAGATTGTTTATCATTATAGTCTGTTGTGAGGGAAGAAGGCAGCAATATGATTTTCAAATGAGTCGAGTTGAACTGAGCCCACCTAGATAGAATGGCACAGTTTGAATGTAACTACCCTACTCAGACACAGTAATAAATGACTCCGAGCCAACCAGTACTTGTTTTATCCCCTGGCATGGCAAGGCAGGGTAACAAAAAATACCATCTATTGATGACTCTCGGTATGACATGGACAGGGATTGAAACAACGACCTTCTGCTTTCCGGGCAGACACTATCCACTAGACCATGGGGGTGGTCACAAATTACACAAACTCACACAGGCTTAAGACTTTACAAAGATCATATTTGGGAGAGAACAGAAATAACAGGTTGTTGATAATATGAGCAATGATCAGTTCCAGTATGAAGACATCCATCAGTGCGGAGAGGAGAGTTGACATTCCTATGCATCAATATGCATGTTATAAAGGGGACCGATCCTGCCCATGAGTTGGTTGGGGATTTGTTACACTGATGTTCACCTGATCAGTTCCAGTATGAAGACATCCATCAGTGCGGAGAGGAGAGTTGACATTCCTATGCATCAATATGCATGTTATAAAGGGGACCGATCCTGCCCATGAGTTGGTTGGGGATTTGTTACACTGATGTTCACCGTACTCCAGGGAATTCCGGGGCAGTCCCTTGATGGAAGACTCAGCTGTAAGGAGGATGAGGCGGCAACAGTTTGTGGCATGTCTACTGGTGTGTAATCACACCCTGATGGCAAGGATCCTGCTTGTGCTGCCATCTAGTGGTCTGTCTGATCCACACTGGACTGTGTTGACAAGCCCCAGCTAACTATTGCTGACAGTGGTGTTGAAAAGCATTCATTCACTCACTCACTCTGAGTATTTCCTTTCCTCAAGAACAAATGGCTTGGATAATTTGTTTCAAAGTAACAAGATATGCCTAATGTCTTACTATAACATCAACAATTTCCTGCATTTACTGCCTGAAGTCAGATGGTAGCAGGTGTTGAAATAAAGCAATAGAGACATTTATCAATGGGGAGCTTTTAAGTCGGCAAGGTTACATGAGAATATCTTCTTCACATGACAAAGTTGATTAAACCCAACAGCAGAAGTCACAGTAAATTGCATGTTCAGCGCCCGGACTCCAACTTTTACAAAGGTCACAGGTGCTTCACTGTGCCAATGTAAGTATTTATAGTGGGGAAGGATCTTCTCATTAATATATTAAAACCTGTGAAAATACTATGCAGAGTTTTTTGGTCACTGAGTTCACTTCACTATCCTCTTCAATAATGCCCAAGAACAGAGACTGCCCCTATTGAATGCCCAAGAATAGAGACTATCTGATAAACAACCCAGTCTACTCATCCCTGGTAAACCAACAGCAGCTGGAGGAACCATTGAAGGAAGTATTCTACCTCAGAATTCAATATTTTAAATCACCGCTTTAATTTTAGACATGCAACTTGCTATACATGTAATCAGGTTAAAGTGCTGCCACCAAACTATTGATGACAGGCACATTATCTATCAACACCTCTGACAGACAGCACAAGATAAACTTCCACGGTCAGTCAAACAGTCAAACGTGGAAAACCCATATGGACATGTCATGTTCAACAGATTGACAGCTGCAGCTGCATCAAATACTATGTAGAAGGAGATGATATATAGTACTTGTTTATTTGTGTTATCAGGAAAGTGACATGACAACTGACGTAAGTTCAAAACTTGACTTCATTATCAATGTAAATATGCTGATATCAACCCCAAGTGATACTGCTGCAACAAATTTATCTTACCGACATGTTATAACCTGCCAATGTAAAAGAATTAAAACAAATTCAAACTTGATAGAAAACAGCTGTTCGATTGAGCTGAAGTTAACTTGTGCTATCTCACATGACTTCATTGTGCAGCTTTTTGCCTCGAAGCAGGGAATAAGGGATCTATTCTCCCCCTCAGAAATCTACGTGCATCCTGTCTTCTTCGTGGCAGGGTATAAGGGATTTATTCTCGCGCTCAGAAATTTGGTGGGATACATAGTATTTTATCAAGATCATGTGAAGCAATCAGATCTCATCATTCTGACATGGAGGTATCATAAATCTGTTTGTTTGTTTGTTTGTTTATTTATTGGAGGAGGATGAAATGTAGGGGAATATTAACTAAGCAGTCGCATTACAAAGGAGGAACACCAAGGATGGGCTGTCCCCATTTCACCAAATTTAGGATTGAACTTTGTATGATGAGGAAACACTCTAATTACTGAGCTGTCATCATTCAAACAAGCTGGGATATGACAGAAGCTCTTTTGGGTCAGCTTAAGAAGTTTGACAGTTTTATACAATGTGGTTGAGCCCTATGAAGAAGGATCATGAACAGCATTTCCACCAAGAAAGCAATGAGCATTTCAATTTTGTTTTACCATGTGAAGAGAATTTTTTTTTTTAACCAAGTTATTCCTAATCTCTGATCATGCAACTTCAAACATGTTGTGTATATGTATGTAACAATATGGTCCATACCATATACCGTATTCGACGTAATAATCGCCCAGTGCGCTCTCAAAATTAGAATTAGCGGGCTCTTATTAGAATAATATATTGGTGAAAAAAACAGAGTAAAAAGACAAATTTTGTGCTTATTACGTAGAATACGGTATTACGTAATGTAAAGGCCAATTTGTCATATTTACCAGTTTACAGATCTTTGTATTAGGGCTGGGACGGGTAACTTGGGTACATGGGTCAGATGGGTACTGAGGAGGACCCGGGTGCCCACAGGACTTCCCAGACCCATGGTGAGTCATGTGAGATAATTGTTTAAAGACACAAATGATATGGAACTCCATGGTTACACTACATGTCACAGATTTTCGCATTTCTTTCTGACTATACAAACATTCCTTCTGCTTTTTAAGTTTTATAAAGATTAAGCTTCAGCAAATTCAGTGTATGCATGATCTGAACAATTTTATATACTCACTGCAAAAAGAAACATGAATATCATACATGTTTGTTAATATATGAAGACTTACGTATATTCAAGAGATATGAGATTGGTTTGATGCACAAACAAACATACTGGTATGTGAACCAATGTGCATGAGTGAGTGAGTGAGTTGGGTTTAACGCCGCTTTTAACAGTATTCCAGTTATATCACGGCGGGTCAGCTTAATGTGGGAGGAAAGCCCAAAGTGATGCAGGTCGCAGACGTTTACCACTTCAATGAAACCCACGAGCACGGGTATGGTGCTGACAAACCTAGAAACATAATTGGAGCGAACCGGGATTCGAACCCACAATCATAGGTTTCTGGCATGCCCAAGGGACGCAACTCTGCCTTCGACGACTGGGCTACCTGTGCTTCCTGATGTGCATGAACACATCACATGTGACGTCATAGATCCATTACTCGAGATGCACCATCTTTTGTAAATCCCATGCAGCATATCGTGATAAGAATAAAGACACTCTGTGGTAACACTTCACTGATTATGAGTTTTGTCATTAAGTGGTACACATTGGAAACATCTGTTCTTAACATACATACTTCTCGATATGTTACTATGGTTCGCGTTTCTTTTGGTGGTGAGTATACTTTTTGCCAGGGCTGCGGTAAAAAAATTCACTATTGGACATTTTTTACCCAACACTTGAGACCTCCATTTGGTAGAGTTGGGTAATAGGGGGTTGGATACCTGGGTCGTAAATTTGGACTCATCCCAGCCCTACTTTGTATGAAAAGTCCTGGTAAGTTGGCGGTATGTTTTGTTCTTCGTGCAAGTGTACCTTGGTATTAGTAATGTCTGTGTCATCAGTCTTGCAGAGTTCCTATTTTATGTACAGTATGTGGTGGACATGTAAGTTTGTATTCGGCAGAATAAAACAACTTTTAAATTTTAATTTTCTTCAACTTTTAATTAACCTGGGGTTGGAAGAATGCGTAAACCAATTTTCATAAAACTGTCTGGTCCAAAAATTTTCAACAGGACTGTGTAGGACTTCACTGGTTGCTATTATAATGCTGAATTGAGACACTTCAAGATTTATCTTGCAACAAACGATAACACTTCATAACAGTCCCAAAGATATTGCCTGGCTCTAGTTCTACCGCCATATATAAATGACTGAAAGAAATGAAAAAGAATTAACCTCCCAGACAGAATGCAAGAACAAATATTGATCCAGTGTTGGAGATGTCTACAATCAAAATACAGCCATCACAACTCCCAATTCATTATTGAAGAGAAAGGACAGATGAAAGAGGCAGATTGGGTGTGAAACTGAGGCAGAAGATGGAGCTCTCGAGACAATAGTGTCAGTGACTTATCTCCCTTTACGACCTCTTA